GGGGGGGGGGAATCAATTATGATCTCTGTAACAGTTTCAAATGACTCCGGTCTCTGTACTGAATGACCTTTTGTATGTGTTATTAATCGAATGATCTAAGATACTGTACCGAATGACCTACAGCAAGTGTACTGAGTGACCTATAATAACTACCCAAGGAGCTACTGTACTGTATCACGTGACGTACCGTAACACGAGCGCCCGTCCCAGCTGTCCATGTACCCGGGTATGCTACAGTTGCATCTGTATGACCCCTCTGTGTTTTCACACTCCCCGGGGCACTTGTTCAGACTGTCGTCGTCACACTCATTCACATCTGTAAACATACATGTCACTTCCGTTTGATTACCCAACAGGAAGAATATACGTACAATGTTAGTGCAACAATTCACTCGAACATTATACTGATTTCCGAGATGTGTTTCCCGTTCGCAGTTTTATTCAATCACAAACAAGTATGCATACATCTGTAACCTCCACCTTACCAGTCCAATGCTGATCGTGGAGACTGGTCGTACCGTACTCTACAGTCGTGTGCTTTTAGTTTTAACAGCAGCTTTATCAATAATCCAATATAATTACGATATGTTTACAGTTGCAGACGGAAGTGAAAACAGAATTTTTAAATATGTTTTTATAAAATTTCTCTCCCTGTCGTCGTAATAACACACCAGTACGTATATCATGAATAAACATCGCTGTCTGATTATCGGTCTCACTTAATTAAACTACCTCATGTACAGGGCTCAGCTAATCAATTGGCAATAAGTTCCGTTGTGGCATGATGGGTCATCCCAGGTTAAATGAAAATATGCATAAATCCTATTTTTCCTTGCACACAAACACTATACGAGGAATTTTTTTTATACCGACCTGCCTCTGCTAAAGCTTTGACTGGGTAAGCGTGGTTTTTAATTAAAATAAAAAAAAAATTGTTTAATCGTTCGATGACTTCATTCACTGTGTTGATAAAGTTACTACATAAATGTAGATCTACACCTTCTCTACATTACTTAGGTGGCGCCCCTAGGTTCTGCCTTTTTTGTCTGTCAAGTTGTCTCATGGTGTGCCTTTCCAACTATTTTTGCAATGTGTAAATAGACAAAGGGATTGCATGTTTAGCTTGTTCCGTTAATGCCGATTCGTTTTACAGGTTGATGAGGTTTTGTGCATGTTTCTTTCTGCACCCTTTTGATGTTCTTTGAGACGTGTTCAAAATGTCCTCCCAGTTTCTCCTATATTGCTTGCATACAATTCTTGTACACTATACAGTACCACTCCTGGTTCTTTTTCAGGAACGTCGGGCTTGTCTTTTGGGTACACAATAACCTGTCGGCATGTTGGCAATGGTCTCATGGGGTGCTGTCATGGTGTTTCCTCATTACCGGGGTAAAGACCTCAGAGATCCCTTGCACGTGGTGAGGAGGACTCAGCCCTTGTATTTAGGTTGGTTTATATATCTTTTCTTTTTGTGTATATTTGTATGTTTTGTTTTATCGTTTGTCCCTTTGTTTATTAACCAGTCGGGTTCCCACTACGGTATGATGACCGTTTATGTACTATTAATGTAGGACCGCCTCCTATTGTTTATAGGTTTCCGGTACTTATGAGTTGATGGTTCCGTTTTCTCGTCAGACAATTAGGGGTCCAAGAAAGGCATTGAATTTACAAACATTGAATTAACAAACATTGATCGGCTGCCCTCATTAAAAAATCGGGCTCAATATTTTCTCAATTTCCTTCTTTTTCGTTTCGTTGTTGGTGTCGCCCTGGGCACCCATCGACCCGAAACAGCGTAACAAAATTGTCCCTTTGGTTTAGATGATCCATTAAGCCCTGTGCTGATCCCATTTAAACAGAATTTCACCTACTTTTCGTTTCAAAAGTATGGGACTGCAATACATGCGTGGTGCCAGTGTTATCACTGTCTGCTGTAGGTGTTCGAGGACCAGATTCGGGATTATTGTGGATACGGGACCCCCAATAGAGGTTCCGTACTTGTGTTGATACAGCTGACACGAAGTATGTTGTTATCATTTCAAATGTTAGCAACTCCAGGATGTTTTCCACTGATAGATCATCTGTCTTACTGAATGTTTTGTCAGTCTCTCTGGTGACACTGATGAATCATCTGTCTTACTGAATGTTTTGGCGGATTCTCTGGTGACACTGATGGATCATCTGTCTTACTGAATGTTTTGTTAGTCTCTCTGGTGACACTGATGGATCATCTGTCTTACTGAATGTTTTGTCAGTCTCTCTGGTGACACTGATGGATCATCTGTCTTACTGAATGATTTGTCAGTCTCTCTGGTGACCCTGATGGATCATCTCCCTTACTGAATGATTTGTCAGTCTTTCTGGTGACGCTGATAGATCATCTGTCTTACTGAATGTTTTGGCGGATTCTCTGGTGACACTGATAGATCATCTCTCTTACTGAATGATATGTCAGTCTTTCTGTTGACACTGATGGATCATCTGTCTTACTGAATGTTTTGTCGGTCTTTCTGGTGACACTGATGGATCATCTGTCTTACTGAATGTTTTGTCAGTCTCTCTGGTGACCCTGATGGATCATCTCCCTTACTGAATGATTTGTCAGTCTCTCTGGTGACGCTGATAGATCATCTGTCTTACTGAATGTTTTGTCAGTCTCTCTGTTGACATTGATGGATCATCTGTCTTACTGAATGTTTTGTAAGTCTCTCTGGTGACACTGATGGATCATCTGTCTTACTGAATGTTTTGTCAGTCTCTCTGGTGACACTGATGGATCATCTGTCTTACTGAATGTTTTGGCAGTCTCTCTGGTGACACTGATGGATCATTTCTCTTACTGAATATTTCGGCGGATTCTCTGATGACACTGATAGATCATCTGTCTTACTGAATGTTTTGTCAGTCTCTCTTATGACACTGATGGATCATATCTCTTACTGAATGTTTTGTCAGTCTCTCTGCTGACACTGATGGATCATCTGTCTTACTGAATGTTTTTGCAGTCTCTCTGGTGACACTGATGGATCATCTGTCTTACTGAATGTTTTGTAAGTCTCTCTGGTGACACTGATGGATCATCTGTCTTACTGAATGTTTTTGCAGTCTCTCTGGTGACACTGATGGATCATCTCTCTTACTGAATGTTTTGTCAGTCTCTCTGGTGACACTGATAGATCATCTCTCTTTCTGAATGTTTTGTCAGTCTCTTTGGTGACACTGATAGATCATTTCTCTTACCGAATGTTTTGTCAGTCTCTCTGTTGACACTGATAGATCATCTCTCTTACTGAATGTTTTGTCAGTCTCTCTGTTGACACTGATAGATCATCTCTCTTACTGAATGTTTTGGCGGATTCTCTGTTGACACTGATAGATCATCTCTCTTACTGAATGTTTTGTAAGTCTCTCTGGTGACACTGATGGATCATCTCTCTACTGAATGTTTTGTGAGTCTCTCTGATGACACTGATAGATCATCTCTCTTACTGAATGTTTCGTCAGTCTCTCTGATGACACTGATATATCATCTCTCTTACTGAATGTTTTGTCAGTCTCTCTGGTGACACTGATGGATCATCTCCCTTACTGAATATTTTGTCAGTCTCTCTGATGACACTGATAGATCATCTCTCTTACTGAATGTTTTGTAAGTCTCTCTGGTGACACTGATGGATCATCTCTCTACTGAATGTTTTGTCAGTCTCTCTGATGACACTGATAGATCATCTCTCTTACTGAATGTTTTGTCAGTCTCTCTGATGACACTAATAGATCATCTCTCTTACTGAAGGTTTTGTCAGTCTCTCTTGTGACACTGATAGATCATCTGTCTTACTGAATGTTTTGTCAGTCTCTCTGATGACACTGATGGATCATCTCTCTTATTGAATGTTTTGGCGGATTCTCTTGTGACACTGATGGATCATCTCCCTTACTGAATGTTTTGTCAGTCTCTCTGGTGACACTGATAGGTCATCTCTCTTACTGAATGTTTTGTAAGTCTCTCTGATGACATTGATGGATCATCTCTCTTACTGAATGTTTTGTCAGTCTCTCTGATGACACTGATAGATCATCTCTCTTACTGAATGTTTTGTCAGTCTCTCTGGTGACACTGATAGGTCATCTCTCTTACTGAATGTTTTGTAAGTCTCTCTGATGACATTGATGGATCATCTTTCTTACTGAATGTTTTGTCAGTCTCTCTGATGACACTGATGGATAATCTCTCTTACTGAATGTTTTGTCATTCTCTCTGATGACACTGATGGATCACCTCCCTTACTGAATGTTTTGTCAATCTCTCTGGTGACACTGATGGATCATCTGTCTTACTGAATGTTTTGTTAGTCTCTCTGGTGACACTGATAGATCATCTGTCTTACTGAATGTTTTGACAGTCTCTCTGGTGACACTGATGGATCATCTCCCTTCCTGAACGTTTTGTCAGTCTCTCTGATGACGCTGATGGATCATCTCCCTTACTGAATGTTATGTCAGTCTCTCTGATGACACTGTTGGATCATCTCCCTTACTGAATGTCTTGTCAGTCTCTCTGATGACACTGGTGGATCATCTCCCTTACTGAATGTCTTGTCAGTCTCTCTGATGACACTGACGGATCATCTCCCTTACTGAATGTCTTGTCAGTCTCTCTGATGACACTAATAGATCATCTCTCTTACTGAAGGTTTTGTCAGTCTCTCTTGTGACACTGATAGATCATCTGTCTTACTGAATGTTTTGGCGGATTCTCTGTTGACACTGATAGATCATCTCTCTTGCTGAATGTTGTGACAGTCTCTCTGATGACACTGATGGATAATCTCTCTTACTGAATGTTTTGTCATTCTCTCTGATGACACTGATGGATAATCTCTCTTACTGAATGTTTTGTCAGTCTCGTGACACTGATGGATCATCTGTCTTACTGAATGTTTTGACAGTCTCTCTGGTGACACTGATGAATCATCTGTCTTACTGAATGTTTTGTCATTCTCTCTGATGACACTGATGGATAATCTCTCTTACTGAATGTTTTGTAAGTCTCTCTTATGACATTGATGGATCATCTTTCTTTCTGAATGTTTTGTCATTCTCTCTGATGACACTGATGGATCACCTCCCTTACTGAATGTTTTGTCAATCTCTCTGGTGACACTGATGGATCCTCTCCCTTACTGAATGTTTTGTCTGTCTCTCTGATGACACTGATGGATCACCTCCCTTACTGAATGTTTTGTCAATCTCTCTGGTGACACTGATGGATCCTCTCCCTTACTGAATGTTTTGTCGGTCTTTCTGGTGACACTG